CACGCGACTTATTTTATTCAATGTGTAAGTTTTGATAGAATAGAAAAGCGGAAGCTGCTAATGAATCAATCTAAATTAGTTGGCGGAAGAAAGGTTTGGAAGCAGCCATAGTGATTTTTCAAAAGTGATTAAATGTTGAATGCAGAACCGCGACCGATATTAAACCTTGGCATTCCTATCGAATAGGCGAATTCTTCTAATATGAAATGATTCACTAAAATGGGGCACCTTATGATTTGCACGATGAAAGTCAGTTGAATGCAGAACGATTTGACATTAATGATGTGAAATGTTATCACAACGGTGGCGGAAATGACGAAGGAGATTGTTTGCAACCTCATCAATTTGCTATTCGTAGAACGACCCATTTGCCTTATCAAAATGTATGAGAAAACAAGTTGTTGACATCCTAGTCTTCCCGTCGCGTAATCGTAATAGCTTAAAGTATCTATTTGTAAATCGAGTGTTACTTGCAGCGAATCCAAATATGTGCGTACAGAGCTGTAAGCTGTCGAAAAACCGATATATCTCATGGTAAATATTGATTATTGAAATATATCAGTGGTGAAGATTAACTCCTCATAAGTCTTCTTCATCGTCAGTGTCTTCTTTTGGACAGATACCTAAGATTACAATAATACACAGTATATACCTAAAGTCAAAACTTGACTCAATATTATATCATTAGCATTTGCCTTAAGAAAAATTGTCAAGGCGCCTTTCAATTACTAAACCTCCACAAAGGCACAAAAACTGATCCATAGTTAAACAAACTTGCCAGTATGTTTACAAATCCAACCGAGGTACTTACGGACATCTACGTAGCGGTTTTGCATATCTAAATAGCATTGTAAGTCTAATTATTCTCCTTTTTGCTAGTAACGTACACTCGGCGCTTCTTTCACATGGTGGAGAGACCGCGGAAGCAATGCCAACCTGAACGTAACGGCCCATTTGAGAGAAAAATAGCGGGCCTCCGCTATCACCCTTAATTGCGAAGAACACAGCGTTGGTTAATGAGATCATAGATAAAGAGGAAACGAACCGAGCACAGTGCAGAAATCTTGTCCACTGTCTCAATTATTTTATCTTTTTCAACGGCTTTGAATAAGTTTGTTTTTTGGAGTCCACCAGAAAATGCCTTCCTTCGGCTTGCTAGAAACTATCACAGTGAAATAAGTACTTGACATAATGTAAATAACCCAAAAAGACCATTTTCTCACTTACTTACGCTCTTTAAATCCGAACATTCAGGCTCGATTTTTATTATGATTTATCTATGATTTACACCAATGGCAGCACCTATACTTTAATCTAAGGTACTTACTCCTAGTCGCTCACAACTATTGCAAACCGGACCATTTCTAGGTAAGTATATCAGTAGAAGACTTTTCCAAAGACAAAGACGAGTGGGGTGCATCACCGCCACTTTTAAATTACTGAGCGCGAGTTTTTTGGAAAAGTTGGATAGAAGGTAGTTTTTCCTTCCACAATCTTCCGAAAATAATCGAAATTCTTCTAAATAGAACTCTTATTCTGCTATAAAGTTCTTACGATCCGCTCCGGATCCAATGGCATTCAAGACTAGTCGAAGAGGTTCTTCTTTTTTGGGGAGACAGATTGGAACTCCTTCAATTTCGGGTACTTTATTCCTCAGGTCGATAATCGCAAGGTCGTTCAAATGAGCGCACTTGTCGTAATCCAAGCGAACATAGATCTAGGCGATACAAACATCCGTTTTTAAGACAAAAAAATACCATTTGCAGCTTACACGATCGATTTTTTGTGGTTTACTGCATTGTTCTATGAAGCGACAAGCACTACCAATATATATTTTCCACGCGTCTATCAAAGTGTTGTACGTGTAGTTAAAGCTGAAAATGATAGGAACTAACAAAGTGGATTTAGCCGTACATATATGTTGGTAGTATATCAACAACCAGGTGGCATACCCGCCTCTGATCGCTGAATTCAGAATTTGGCTAAATTTCTTTTCAATCTAAATTGGATTTCTCCAGAAGAGAAGAGCTGAAAACTTCCCAGTATGAAAATTCATCTACAGTAAATGTAAGGGCTAATTGATGATTGTTGTCATCTTTATCAACACGCGGTAACCAAGTATTCACTAGCATAAGGCGAAAGATGCAAACAAAAGAAAATCGAAAAATGATGAAGCAAGTATTTATTTTTCGGGCCAAGTGACCTGGAATCTGCTGGGCAGTATGCGTGTAAAGTTTGAGATGGTCTCGCAACAGGAAATTTTTGGTACAAAAATGTAGACGCATAAACAATAGACAGAAATTATGCCTTATGGATTACTGCCGTTTGTTGGTCAAAAAATTTTTGCCTTTATATGTTTTGACTAGTGGAACAGAAGTTACGTATAAACATATTCTCGCAAGTTTTTGGGCTCTAACAAGGTAGGGATAGTTGCTCGACACGGCCATTCTAAGTAGGATGATTTAGCTGAAAAAGTTTGAGGTAAAGACCTTTAGGGGCTTCCCTATCTGCGAAGAGGGTCATCGGAAGAAGCTCTAAGCTATTTCTAATCCTAATCACGTATTTAGTATAAATTTACAAGAGGGAACCAGAGGTCAGTTGCGGAGCCTAACAGGTGGTAAAGGGTTGAAATTTTTTGCCGACCGCAAAATATATTGCATTTTTGTCGAAATTTGCATTGTATGCCAATTTTTTGCATTCGCAGTAGTACACACGCGCATAAATCACAAGAAAGCCGAATTTTCTCAGAGACTGTGATACCATTATGATTGAAAGTTTTTGTTTCGCAAGCGAGTGTTGTGATTGCCTATGTAATTGAACATGTTTTATTACGCATGAGTCACAAATGATGCACTATAAATCAAGCTTATCGAATGTCACTTTTGGTAGTTGTCCCACTCGGAGCAACATAAAAAGGCTTTACTTTGTTTTGCTTGATAGTCCTTTTTTAAGTGAACTTATATGGTCTTGATAGCTTGATACCTGCGCCCACGAGTCAGTTGATTATGTTTAAAACGTAGACGGTAAGTAGCAATGATGTAATTTTGATGAAACGCAAAATGACCTTAAAATCTCTAAGAAAATGCAGATTCAATGAAGATGCGTGTACACTGCGAATTTAGGAAAATTCTCCTGCAAATAATGCAAAACGCTTCAGCGAAAACAGGGCAGAACCACCGCTTCTTTTAAAGGCTGCATACATACCACTAGACTAAAAGTACAACGATTAGTATTTCATGTAATTCTAGACGAACTACTCTGATGCTATTTAGTGTGAAATTATATACAATATTGCTCGTAACTTGTGCCAGAAAAAAAGGGATTTCACATAAAATGCGTCTCAAGCATTGCATCGTGATAACTTCTTTCAAAATAGAGTTTTCG